ATTGAAACTGTGGATGAACCTTGTTACAGTACGGATCCATCTTGCTGGGGAAAATGCGATGCATCTGTGCGTGCCTACTGGGCTGAGCGAGGACCGCAGAGCTGCCAACGCATGGACGTAAATTTTAAAGCGTCCGAACGAGCGTACAAACAGCAGAAGCGGTTCTTCTCCAGACTGCACTTTAAACGCAGACTCGCCAATGGTGAGTATGTCCAAAGACAGTGGCTGCTTTACTCTCCATCTACCGGAGCTGTGTTTTGTTTTGCATACCGCATTTTCAGTGATGCTAAAAGCAAATCGTGCTTTGAAACTGGTTTCAGCTGGAAACATGCCACAAACCGGATGAAAGAGCATGAAAACAGTGAACATCACAGAAAGGCTATGCTGACTTATATCACATTTGGGTCAGCTGCTGGGAGGATAGATTCAGAGCTGGAAAAACAATTTGAATCTGAGAGTCATACTGGACTGAAGTTTTGAGAAGAGTTGTGTCTGTTGTGAAGTTTTTGGCAGAGAGAGGACTTGCTCTTAGAGGATCTAGTCATGTTTTTGGCAGGACTGATAATGGTAATTACCTGGGCCTTCTGGAGTTAATCAGCGAGTTTGATCCCTTTTTGAAGTCTCACATAGAGAAATATGGAAATGCAGGTGCAGGGACACCTTCATATCTTTCTTCACTGATGGGTGATCGTGTTCTGTCTGAAATAGTCGGTGAAGTAAACATGGCCAAATACTATTCGATCTCAGATGTTTCCCACCTTGATCAGTTAACATTTATTCTGAGATATGTGTCACCTGAAGGGCACTCCCAGGAACGCTTTCTTAGATTTCTTCCCATAGAGAGCCATACAGCTTTGAGCACAGTCTTCTATCTTAGTGGCAGATAAGTGTGCTTTTGCCTTTTGTTTATTTTTGTTAAAGTTATTTATTTGACAGCAAAAGCAGAATTTGAATTGTATTAAAATGTTCAGTGTGTAAATGACTACCTAATGTTAGGTTATTGATTCACACAGCTTTTAGAAGCCAAAGTTGAAATAATGTTTTCTTTCTATAAAATGCAAATCTATTCATTCAAGGATTATTGTAGTGTGTGTGAATTGGTTTATTAAAGATGTGTGATCTAAAAAAAAGTATCAATTTGTAGTCCTTAAAATAATATAGTAAAATTATAAGTGTGTGTGTGCGCGCGTGCGTGCGTCTATGCAGCAATTTTGAAAAAAGGGCCCACCTAAATTGACTGAAGCCCATGGGCCCACATCCTCCTAAATCCGGCCCTGCTTTTGGCTGTTTATAATTTTCACGTCTGGTTTGCGCTGATATGTTCCGAGTCCCGAGCCCGCACAGATGTTTTACCGGTACGTTCTACCGTGCCCCGCCTGCGCCCTATAACCCGGTGTGCCTTTTGTATGTGTTAAATACCAAAAAGACACCGACTGAAGCTGCACCCTAGGTGCGCCCTATAGTCGTGAAAATACAGTAAATGTGGCAGGAAATAAACTAATACGCCACTCTACTAGGGTTGTCACGGTAACCGGTGTAGCGGTAAACCCCGGTAAAAAAGTTTACAATAATAATAACCGTCTTGTTTTTAAAAAACTATATTATCTCGATGGGTTTACCGTGGCTGTGGTGTAGGCGCGGTGACCCTTACCAGCCACCGTATCACCTGCTGAAGTTGCTGGCAGCACATGTGCGCTTTGTTGTTTACAACCAAAACTTTCTTGAAGCTAAAGCTGAAATAATGGCCAGAGGAGGAGACGGCAGCGCTCAGGACATTTATTATCCCTCAAAGAAGACAAAGTCGGAAGTACGGGCATCTTTTGGATATTTGAAGAATGCTGAGGGACAGCTGATAGAAGACGGCTATCCTGTTTGCAGCACGAGCAGAAAAAGTGTCTGTGAAAGGCAGCAACGCTTCAGATCTCATGACACATCTGCGTGACCATCACCCACAACTCTACAGTCAACGCAAGGCAAGCTAACGTTAGCGTTTTAGCTAAAATGCGTGATCCGAGGATTTGGGTTGAGGGAGAACGCAACGAGTGGCTATATAAAGCAGCCGCAGCGCCGCTACCTGCATATAAACCGTGTCGCGGACACCGCCATGTTGAAATGACGCTATGCATTACGGGGCTCCCAGGGGCAGATAAGAGTTGGTCTCTCTCCGAGAATAATTATGAATTTAACAACGATTACTGCCTGATGACATTTTCCCACATCTGCAAAGCTCACTGGAAGGACACAAACCGAGGACAATATTTTCCTGATATAGGGTTTATTACTCAAGTAAGGGTAAAAAAGTATCTGATTAGAAGGCTACTTGAGTACTGAGTATCATCTGAGCTAATATTTTTAAACGATGACATCAAACAGACATAAAATAAGGAGTTATGGGCAAATATTGGTATTTTAAAGACTAAAGGGAAAAAATGTAAACAAATAAACAACATAATTACAAAATAACACATTTTAGGCTAAATTTAGACACAAACTGAGGACAATATTTCCTGACATACAGGGTTTATTTAATTGTTTGAAAATGTAGCACGTTTAAAAAAATACCGCGATAATACCGAAAACCGTGGTAATTTTGGTCACAATAACCGTGAGGTTAAATTTTCACACCGTGACAACCCTAGTGTCTACAGGCACATTTTGAGGAGGGACAGTTTACTAAGACTAGGCAAGGCAAGGTGAGACTCAGGACTGATGCTGTTCCAACCCTGTTTGTTCATCGCCCTGAACCAAGGAGGAGGAAGGATCTCGCAGTGAGAAGTACAGCAGAACCACTGCATGTTTGTTGATCCACTGACCAGTGACCACACACATTGTACTCAAGTAAACTGTGGTGTGAATCTTTAGAAATATTACACATTTGTATTTATTTACTTAAAAGTTATTCTTTATTCTAACAGTGCCATTAAACTTTCAGAGAATGAGGGAAGCAGCAGCAGCAGTGAGGCAAATGAGATGAGAGAAAGTGAGCAGGGACATGAGATGGTATCAGGAGAGAGGGACATCCCAGGAAGCCATGAGGAGCCGGCGTCAGGGCCAGGAGGAGAAAGGAACAGGATCCGCAACCAGTGAACCCAGCTGGAAAGCCTAAATCCTGATTCATGCTTCTGCGTCTGCGTCAGTGCGGAGACACGCAACGCCATTATCCGTCCTTGCGGGCCTGCTGGAAAGCCACGCAAGTACGTACGGAGTCAAGCTCTCTTTTCTAAACATCCGGCCGTCTGCCGAGACGGAGAACGCAAGCTTGTGATTGGTCAGGGCACCGCTGTCGTCTACACCTCTGTCATTGCGCCCTTAAAAATATAAAGAGAGTCGAGAATAACTAGCGGCAGACACGGAGCAGCTTGAAGAACACCTTGTGAAAAAACTCTAAAAATATGAACGTTTAATTCCCCCGGGACTGGAGGAGTGAAAAGATGCGCAGCAGGCATTTTAATTATGGACGGAAATGACAGGAAACGTGGGTTTAGAGGTGGCGAGCGCATGAAGAGGTGGAGGAGAATGAGAGATACATTTGTCCGTGTTAAAAAGTCTCTTGTATACCAAAAAACACAACATAAACACACTATCTTGGACCGGATACGTGACAGGATACCACAGAACAGCGCTACGCCCTCTGCTGTCCTGGTGGGGAATTGCTTTGCAACACTCCCCAGGAGACGGAGAAGTATGAGGGCAAAATGTCTCCGTCCGTGCGTGTGTGTCTCTCCCTGTTGGAACTGACGGAGAAGCATGAATCAGGCTTAAGGGAGTAAACAGACAATCAAAAAGGCCGTACAGCTCTGTTTTTCAGTGGGTTCAACAGGCTGCAGGTTTCTTCAGGACACGAGTATCCCTCTGCCTGATGTTAGAACCCTGCACAGACAAATGCAGCCCGTTAAACTGGAACCAGGTGTGTTAGGAGAGGTGTGTGACATGCTCAGTTTGCAGGTTAAAAATCTGACAGAGATAGAAAGAGAGTGTGTGCTCACTGTGGATGAGATGGCAATCACTCCAGGCGTGCATCACTCCATCACAGACCCAACTGGGTTTTGCCACCACCGTTGTTCCTGGTCAGCTCTCCGCTCAGCCACTATGAAAACATGAAGATGGACACATGACACAGTTTAACCTTTAATGGTTACATACGATTTTTGTTTATCTCCCTACGTTCGTAATCCTGTTTAGTCTCATGCTTCAGCAGCTCGTTGCAGTCAGTGTTATTAACTGAAAAATATTAAATAATTACGTGTCTTCACAATCACATTTTTCTTTATTATTGGTCTCTCCATTTGTGCTTCCATTTCTGATGCATGTTCGTGTTGATACAGCAACCAGCAACGTATTGTACAAAAAATCCCAAATAAAACTAATAATGTAAAAAGTTTATAACCTATTTCAAACTGTGGGGAATTTTTAAAACGTAGAATCAAACAAACTGAAATAAACCCGTCTACAGCTCGTCAAGCTTGTCTAAACCCTCCTGCTCACAATCAACTAGCTGCACACAGTTAGCTCATTAAAGGTTATCTAGCTGAAACTGGCAACATAAAATACCATCGTTGGCTAATTTTGGTACGAAGCGGTTAGCTAACGCTTCACAATGCAACAAAATTATGACATTTCATCAACTTACCAGAGAAAATCCTTCCGAAACACCGAAAATGAAGTACGGTCAGTGCAGCAGCGGGGCTGTTTGGAACTATTGGAAGCTCCATGAACCACGTGACTCCCGCATTCCATTCTTTCCATAGGAGTCTATTGGAGTGTCGTAACTCGTTCTTTCTACAGCTTTGAGTGTTACATGTTACTGTAACAATAAAGAAAAAAAAGGTATGTACTATTGATTTACTCTTTCCTTGTTTTGTAAAAGTTTTGACCATTTTGAGTTTACATTTTTATTGGGTTATCTAAATCTTTTTTGATGACTCACGTCACCGTGACCAGAGGTTTGAGACAATAAACAACCAATTAAGTATAAATGTCATCTAAATAAAATCCCTTACCCTCCCATTTTTGCAGATGTAGTCAAACAGTTCTCCTCCTGACACATACTCCATGACCATGAAGAAATCTGTGGGTGTACTTATTACCTGGTAGCTAAAACAGGAAAAAACACACATGCATTAGCCTCCTTCAAATTCTGTTCCTCCAGTTTATAATCACACAACACCAACACACACACAAACTAAAGGCAAAGCCTGACGGACTCGTTCAGGGCTGAGCGTAGGTAATCCTTCTCATAAAGGTCAGCTTATTAGACTGAAAGCTCAGTGCAATCAACTGTTGCTTGTGGGAGAATCAGAAATCCATCAAGTCCTTTTTCTTTCCTGCTGAGCCAACTGAAGCCTGACAGATCTGGCCCCATGGGGGAAATGGACGAGATTGCAATTATTTTTTCTGCTCAACATGCAAACACATAAAGTCTTCCAAGACTGAAAACAAGCTAGTATGTTTTGTAATGGCTTTAGTTTTGCGCAATTTTATATGGCAAGGCAAGGCCGCTTTATTTATAGAGCACATTTCAAACACAGAGGCAACTCAATGTGCTCAACAATTATCAGGACATGATATGAAACCAACATAAAAACACAAATTAAAATACACACAAATGGAGTTACAGTTTAGAGCTAAAGGAGAAGACAAGGTTACAGCGCAGATTACAGTGGAGACGACACATGATAAGACACAATTCATTTAAAGGCTGACGAGTACATTCAGGTTTTTAGTTTTGTTTTGGACAGCGTTAGGGTTGGGGCGCCTCTGAGGTCATGGGGAAGCTGATTCCATACGTGAGCAGCATAGTAACTAAATGCATCTCCACCATGTTTTGTTCTGACCCGCGGTTCTATGCACGTCCAAATATGTTTGAACACCTCGCTTAAGGCCCTGTCCACACGTAGCCGGGGATCTGCCAAAACGTAGATATTTTTCTACGTTTTGGCCTGTCATCCACACGAAAACGGAGTTTTTTCACACGAAAACGGATCTTTTTAAAAACTCCGGCCAAAGTGAAGATCTGTGTTTTCTCCGTTTTGGGTGTCTGCGTGTGGACGGACAAAACCGGAGTTTTAAGGTCCGCAACGTCACTTTCTGCGACAAAAAAAATGCTGACATCACGTGTGCGACCTGTGTTTACACTAGCCGACAGCATGGATGCCCTCAGAGCTGCGCTCGCTTTATCAACTGTCCAAGCGCTTTCTGCTTGTTTGTTTTTGCAAGCAGAATTACTGCTGCTTGTGGAAGACCACAGACGAAGGACGAGGTTAAGAACGGGGGAAGTACTGCCGCCTACAGGTCTGGCATGTCCTTAACAACGTACTTATCCGGGTACGTGTGGACAGAGTTTTTTTTAAACGCGGTGGTGTGGATGCAAGTTTTTGGAGGGGCGGATATTCGTTTAAAAAAAACCCGGCTACGTGTGGACTAGGCCTAAGTCTGCATCTGTTTCTGATAGCTGAAATATTTACTACCATGCTGCAACATTTACAGAGTTACAAAGCACCTCTGGAAAGAGCCTGAAAGCTGGCATGTCTGCTATCGCTAAAGAGTGTGACAGTGTGGACTTATCTTGACTCACGTCTGAAAATAACACCTAAGAGACAAAACAATGGACTGAGAAGTATGCTGGGCAAAACCAAAAGCAAAAAAAAAGAGAGAAAAATAACCAAAAACACAGAGGAAGACTTAAATGTGCTTTGATCTCTATCCAAGCTTGTGTCTGTGGTTTGTTTAGAGAACAAATTGTTTATGTTCTACCTCCTGGGACATTTTCAGCAAGCTCAGCACAACCAAGCTAAGCCATCATCATATACTGGTAAGCTATGTGTCTGTGTGGTCTGTCTCTACTTACAGCTTGATGATGTGTGGATGTCGGAACAGTTTGAGATTCTGAATCTCCCGTTTGATCTTCCCAACGACATCGAGACTGCGGATCTTCTGTCTGTTTAGGATCTTCACTGCCACTTTGTGACCCGTCAGCTGGTGCTCTCCAACTAGCGCAGAGGCAAACAGACAGGAAACACACTGAAGAAACTAGTTTTGGGAAAATGCAGATCTTTGTGGGAGAGATTTCAAGAAGGAATAAATGAGATTGTTGTACCGTAGGCTTCTAATAAAAAGGAAATAAAATGTGTTCTTATTTGGTTTGTGGCACTTTTCTGGCTATTTCTTTCTTTATTTCCTCTTTGATGCTGGACTTCTCCGACTGCCTAAGGCTGTGTATTCACAATGTTATTGCAGCTGCATACAAGAGCTAAAGCACAGAGTAAGTTATCAACATGATGGATCATCTGCCTCTACTTAGACAATGCACAAAGCAACATTTGTATTAGTCATTACGCTATTAAGGCTATAATATAATATAAATAATATAAATATAATTTATTATCTGTTATTTGGTATCACATGCAAAAATCAGCCCGAAAAACATGCAAACCATTTGAAAATGGCAGTTGGCCATTTACAAAGGAAACAGGCTGTAAAGTGTTAGATATAAATATTAAGTCGAATCTGATATCCTGGTTAAAATATTTACTAAAATTTGAGCTAATATACAGGTTCATTTAGTTTAAAACTGCCACATTTACATTGGACCTATTTAGATTTCAACACCGTATTTAGATTTAGATTTTCACATTTAACAATGCAAGTTGATGTGATTCTAGATGTTTACAAGCAATTTTTTTATTCTTCAATTTTATATTGAATATTTAAACATTCGTCTAAATTTCTGCTAAAACGTTTTGAGAGAATAACTTTCAATTTTCTAAATAACTGTGGTGAAAAACGGATTTTCTATTTTAAATCCACGCGAGAAAAAGCATTAAAGTATTAAACGAGTCGGCGCCCCATAGCTTCCCTTTAACTGCGCACTGGGCGAGGGAAGCTCACAAGGTCATTCTGCGACCGCAAAACCTAACCAAAATGTTTAAACTGGCGAAATAAAGACCAGATGAAGCTTTTGGTCTCTAAAGGACTTCCCTAACTGCTAGTTACATCTACCGCCAGGGCAGCTTAGGAACATAAATGTCCGTAAACTACACGCTGTGTTTCCGTCAACGATTCCGCGTTTATTTGCCGCAAAACGGGACGAAAACGCTTCAAAAACATGACGTTTTATGTGTTTGAACATCATAAAATAACGATAGGAACGTGGTCTGGTGTCTCTGTGCTCCTTCAGCTAATTACACCTGCTGTAGCCGATAGCCGTGGCTACAGAAAGCTTCCTCGGTGGAAGAATTTGACTTTGAAGCGGTCCTATTCTCAAATTAGATTTACGTGACAAGTACATGCTGCTTCCGCACGTGAGCCATTCCCTTACGCAAACTGCGTAGCGTCAAGTTAACCACGGAGCGTAAAGACAGACGGGAGGCAGGGACACTGAATTTGTACTATTTTGACAGAAAAACACAAACGGAGCTCAGCATGACACAAAACATGACTCAACTCTTTACTTTGCCGAATGTCCCCACTCCGAGCGTGTCTCCGATGACGTAATGACCGATTTTTACCCTGCCTTCGTGTTTCTGTTGTTGCCGCTCAGCCATCTTCTCCGTTACCGACGGCTGGGTTCGCTCGGTGCGGTGGGTGTGCTGCCGCCTGTGGGGCCGCACGGAGGGGCGGGGCGCTCCGGTGGCAAGGCTCCAGTTTGAACGGCTGCGGAAAGGACGTGAGATTATGTGCAAAATAAAGCGCTTCTTTAAAACACCAGGTGGAAAAACGTGAACATTAGAACGGACCGACCTTTCCATCAGGTAGATGTGTTTAAAAACCAACGCGCCAGGTGTTTTATGAGAGACAAAATTGAGCTAAACGTGGCAACCAATTCTTACATTATCAATGTAATTTTGTCGTTTTTCTTTCTTGGCCACCTGTGTCTCTAGGATTGATCACATGCCAGAAATGGCAGAATTCACCACCAAACCTTTGCTGGATTGTTCTGAGGTGTTGCTCTGGGATGATATCAGGTGGTCATTTATGCACACCTGTCTGCAGAGGCTGGCTGTCCACTCCTATGGATGAGGAGTGACCCCTCTCCCTCTGTTGGCAGCTGGTTGGATGGATGGTATCACTCACATTTTCTTCTGCTGTAATTTCTTCTTCCAGAGACCTCAATCTACCAGTAAATGAATTGATAGAGAAAATTCCAGTCCATAGACCTGTTGCACTTTACAACAAGGATCCCTGTGATAGAGGTGGGTCTTTCTAATGTTGTGATAAAGTACAGCATCATGTGCTACAAATGATGTTTACAAATGCTCGTTGTGCTTACGAGGCAGCAACTAAGTCTGAAATATTGCAACTCCAGGTGAAATAGGCGAACAGATTTGGCAACAAACTTGTTAGTTTTGTCTCTTGCTCTCCCTTAAAAGATGCATTATAAACGCAGATTAATGATTTGGAAAGGTCAAAGATGAATTAATAACAAACCAATAGATTCACCATTCATAAGGGGGGCTTACAGTGGTACCGTTTCTTTGTTTCATGCAGCTCAAGCGTTTTGTGTCCTACATCATTCACCACAGTTCATTGCTAATTTATATTCTTCAGATTATCTCTGACTCTGACATTTTGGAATCTCAGTTTCTGTCTAAATTTATGGCAAGGCAGCCTTGTGTATATAGCTCATTTCATACACAGAAGCAATTCAATGTGCTTCAGGAGCAAGAACAGTAAGAACATAACATATTAAAATCAACGAGACAACATAAACTGCAGCAATCTAATTTAAAATACACAAATAAAATTAGATGTATGAATAATATCCAAAGGCAAAGTTAAAGGGTGAGCAGTTAGAGTGCAGCATAATAACATTTATTAAAAGGCTGATGAAAACATGAAGGTTTTCCATTTTGATTCAAAAGTTACTAGAGTTGAGGCACATTTGAGGTCACAAGGAAGCTGATTCCATCTGTGTAGCATAGTAGCTAAAAGGCCCGTCACCCCGTTTGGTTCTGACCCGAGGTTTTATTCTGACTGTTTCCTAAGGATCTGAGAGCCCTGCTGGGCATATACACAGGAAGGAGATCCAACATGTATTCTGGCCCCGTGCCATTGAGTGATTAACAAACTAGTAGAAGTACTTTGAAGTTGATTCTGTAGTTTACTGGTAACCAGTGTAGAGACTAAAGAACAGGAGTGATGTGTTCTGTTCTCTTGGTTCTTGTTGGCTCTAGCAGCAGCAGCGTTCTGAACAAGCTGCAGTTGCTTCACAGGTTTTGGGGAAGACCAGTTAGGAGACCATTGCAGTAGTCCAGCCTGCTGGAGATGAACACATGAATGAGTTTCTCTAGGTTCTGTCTGGACCTCTGAGACATGCTCTTTGATGAAGATGATAAAATGCTGATCTAGTCATAGCCTTCATGTGACCAGTGAAGCTCAGGTCTTTATTCCTCTGGAGCCAAGTGGAGCAGGAACCTCCATCCTATCCTTCTTATTCCCAAAGACAATAACTTCTGTCTTGTCTTAGTTAGCTGGAGGACGATTGACTGCAGAGGACCACAGTGAATTAAATTTAAACATTCCAGTATTTTAAACTTCCGTTTCTGACAATAGATACAAAACTTAAACTATTTCATGCTTTTTTGTCCTCCGAGTCCTGTAAGATTAAATCGTGCTGATTATACTTCCATTCACGTTTCTGACATCATCCATGTGAGTGGAAGAAAAGCCATTTCTGCATCTACAAAATAACACGAGCTTCAAAAGGGGATCTAATTGCTCTTGTCAACACAACTGGAGTAGAGGATGTCCTGACGTAAACATCGTCTGACTCTTCTAGAGGTCAAGTTCGCTGATAAATCAAACGTAATGTGTGGAAAATTGGGTATTGTATAAAAGGTTGTACAAAGGTGCAATCGAGCTCTTGTGATTTGTTGTTTAGATGCGACACTGACTCGGGTCAATGAGCCATAAAACCTCAAGGCTTGTTCTGTTTGTCTTCAGGCAGATCACTGAAGTTTCATTTATTTATTCATGAGGCACCTTAATGCCCCCAGCCAAGGCTGCCCAAAGTGCAGAGCATGATAAAATCATATGCATTAAAATTATAGACAGTGATAAGACCATACTAAAAACAGATGTCACAAGACAAAAAACCCCACTAAAATAATAAATTCAAAATTCACATAATGCCTAAAAATAATCAAAATAAATAAAAACATTCCAGGAATATAGCCATAAAAATAACAATTAAACCAAAAAAGTACAAAAAATATAAAGTTAACTAGATTTGTAGTATTGTTTCAGTTTAGCTTTAAAACTCCAGACAGTTCATTCATTCATTCATTCATTTATTCATTCGTTCGTTCGTTCATTCGTTTGTTCATTCGTTCATTCATTCATTCATTCATTCATATCTGGCAGATGTCATGCAAGTGAATAATGAGTATTTTTAGAGGTTAATACTGAGGCTGTGTCCTGACTCAGAACATTTGTCTCAGAATAGCCTTCAGACCATAGACTGTACTTCAGACAGACGTCACGCGGAGGTTTTCATCTGTTCCCCCTTCAATAAGAACAAATCCTAATCTTAGACATTAGGTCTCTTCAGTCCATGTAAATGAATGGAACATGGTTTGAAATGATAAAATACACTTCAGATAATTTAGTTGCATGTTCAGGTATTTATTTTTAATGTTTGTGTATCTGATGCTTTAAAGACACAACAATAATCTGCAGAAGGACAGGTGGACACCCAAAGTACATAAACAGCATAAGTGGGTGGAGATAGTTGATTCACTTGATTTAATTTAATTTATTCATGACATTATTTTAGGGTAGTTTACTATGGAAAGAAATAAAATATCACACATATTTAGATGCACGTAGTCATGATCAAATCGGTGTTGGCAGAAAAGATTTACACTGGTGATTTGAATTCTGCTTATTTGTATTTTAAATAGGTTCTGTTATTTTCTTTAGCTGTATAATATTAGTCCTATTGCAAAACGTGCATACTGACTATTTGCGTTTTATTCCATTCACCACAAACCATCACAGAGGCTAGAATCTTCTGTTTCACCACTAGAGGGCAGTGTAAGCGTGATTATTATAAGGAGGTAGATGGCTGTTGAAACTACAGGCCGGAAAGCCAAACTAAATAAATATATTATTTAAAATTTGCAAAGCAAGAATTTGGTCTAGTTCAATAGGCTATGTTGAAACTTCTATCTGATGAATATGTTTGTTTGTTTCAAATATTAAAAAAAGATAAAAAATAGTTGACAATCAAGATTGTTTGAAAAGGAGACGTAAGAACAAGTTGAAGGCCCTTCTCTCTTTCATAGAAGCTCATTAAAAGGCAAACTTATTTAGTCTAATTTGCAATTTTATTCTCTCAAATAAAAACAAGTCAAACCAAACTAAAGGCTCTCATCTCTGCAATCATTAACTTTTTTATATTTTCTGGGTTTTATTGCTCTTCATTCTTGTATACATTAAAGGGGTACTATGCAAATTTTTCATATTTAAAGTAATTTTCTTGAGCCAGCGTGTGCTGAAATGAGTCTTTACAGGGTAAATGAGATGTCACTCAGACCCCACCGCCCTTTGTTTCCTGAACAGGGAGCCTACGTCTCCTCCCTCTCCGGTCGGCTCGTGGGTCCCCGGAAGAACAAAAAAATGAACGCAATAGAGTGGAGCTAAGAGAGCTATTTTCTAATCCGTTTTGCCCCACATCCCGGATCGCTCGTGTGTTGTACTTCAGTTTAACTGAAAACTAAGGGTGGGTGTTTCGTCGACCACGCCAGTTATGCACTTTGAGATTTATCAGCTTTATAATTAGCACCACTACAAGTCAGACATCAACACGTTGCATACGTGCACCACAGCATCTTCTCTGCTCTAGCGTAGCTGCTACTTACCACATGGCCAGGTTTATGGTGGTTTTTTCCTCCTGAAGGAAGGATTTGAAGTCTGCTGAGCTTAAAGCCATTTCCCTCTGTTTTTCTCCGAGTCTGGTTCGATTGCATCACTTTTGTGAAGCGCGTTGTAGTCCTGGACTTATTTTCACACAAAACCTAAAATAACGTTTCCCCTCGTTCGAAAATAAGCGCATTGGTATTAAGATGCTTCTTTAAAATTCACTGACGTGTGAAATCCATGGCACATGACAAGCAGAATTAGAAAATAACGTTTTTATTGACTTGCATTCATTTTTTCATTCTCCCAGGGACCCGTGGTCCAGAAGTAGATGGGCATGACTTAGGCTCCTTATACTGGACTTGCAACTTCAGAGTGCCGATGTCTCCTGTTGTAAAAGTGGAGCTATCATGCCTGGTGCCGGAGTCTGCCTCTAGCACTTTTCCTGCACATTGTAGATTATGAACAGATTTAGTGATGCATCACTCCTGTAGTAACTAATGGTGGCTGGTGGAACATTTAGCTGTTAGATGAAGGTGTTAAAAAGAGAACACACAGCAAGTTTCGCTTTTTGGTTCACTAAACCGACACTAGGGGGTGCTAAAAGCAAGCCAAAACCGCCTAGTCTGAATGTTGAATGTTTGTTCTTTGAATTTTCTTTTGAACTGGCTTGTTTTTGCTTTGTTTGTGTCATCTGTTCTAGCCTTAAAACCCACTTTTTATCGGCTAGCTTTCCCCAGCATTGACACTGGCTTTTACATTTTATCATTTGTATCGCACAGTTAATTGCTTTTCTATGTTTATTTTTCTTTTTACTGATTTTTAGTCAGTATGTTGTTTTTATTTCTACTTTGGTTTTATGTCTTGTTCAGCACCTTGAGCCTCCGCTAAGGCGGTAGAAGGTGCTTTATGAATAAATAAATGGAAAGTTGAACTGAAATCTGCTAGACCATTCGCGTGCACGACATCTATCAGACATGAATTCAGTCCTGACTGCAGTGACAGATTTGTCTGCAGAGAACAAGCCTGCAGGTTTCATGGCCTCAGTCTCAGTCTTGCATGTGAGCAACAAATCACATGAGCTTGATTGTGTCTTTGCTCAAGCTTTAACACAAATTCCAAAGTGAGAATTTCTTATGTTGTGTAACATTAATTTTCTCTAAAGACTCTGAAATGTCTATAAAAGGCAAATTACTTTGTTTCACGGGTTTTCTGCAACTTTCTACTGAAATGTTTGTTCTAAAGTTTGAATAGGGTGTTTCCGTACATGATTACGTTATAATTGGTGCGTGTGAGACCAGAGTTGACGCGCGTCTCAGCTCTCCTCTTTGCGCGCACCGCCACTGGCGCGCGCACTGCTGAACTGAACCGTGCGGGTCTGACCGCTGGGAACGCTGCTCCACCATCCTGCCTCAGAAAGTTTTCCATGCAGGCGATGAGTATCCACCTCTAGCAGAAGAGGAGGTCCGAGGGGGAAACTTAAGAGACCAGAAGGAGGAGGAGGAGGAGTAAGAGGATTGATATAACAAGAGAGCGGCTGTCGGTGCGCAGCGTAATCCTGAACCGAGACCGATAAGGGGAGCGGGCTTTCTCCATTCTCTTCCTTTCTCCAGTCCGTGGCGCGGGTCCACTCAACATTTCGTTTCTTTTATGTTTAATTATTTTTTGAAAATATTCTTCATCTGGCGAACAACTGCGAAAGCTCCGAGTCTGGTAAAGTTTATTTCCCGGTGAATAATTCTTCCATCTGGGGACTCCAGAGCCTCCCGTCTTCACCCACAGCGCTGTGGGGTTTCCGAGCAGGAACAGAACTTTTCAAATGCAAAACTACATGTATGAGAAAGCGATGGCCCAAGAGACAAGGAACGGAGGAACCTCGACGTTGAACAACAATGGTGTTGACAACAGAAACAGGAAAGTGCTCGTTGTGCTCGACATCTTCTGTCTCCTGCTCG